GTTTCTTCGTAAAGATTTGCTCTCCGACAATCCTTACATTTTAACGGGGTTTGACTGTAGTTGTTACGGAGTACATATGAGTCGCTCGCTGAGTGTCCTCCTGCTAGATTTGTTGGTTTTACACCGACGCATGGTAGGTAGTCCCTTAATTATACTTAGAATACTACTCTGTATAACTCATTGAGATCTTGCTTTGAGATTAGCTTTACTTAACTATTTACTTTCATCCTAAGGTTGATTATCTGGCCTCGAAATGGCTTATCATGAGCGGGAAGTGCGTATTCAAGATAAAATAATGTGTCAAATACTCGACAAGGTCGAAAATTAGTAGTCTGTGAAACCCATCCGACCACGGAAAGGCACACAAGTTCACGAGTGCATATTATGTGAAGATAAATCATTGATAATGTTCAAGAAAAATGTGATTGTCTCTGATGCAAAATGTCATAGATTAATGAGTACATGAACCAGTAGCCTCAGAAAACAGGAAGCATTTGCATTTATTTAAACCGCCCAGACCATTTTACCCTAACTAGTCATCTGCTTTGAAGAGTATTCCTGATATTTTGGTGCTGTGAAAGCACGCAATACCTTGCCATATTTCAAAAAAACCAGCGCAAAAAGCAGGACAAACGTGGCGATGACAGCCATTGATAGTATGACATTTTGAATACCCACAGCATGAAACCATGGATCAAGGGCAAAGATAAAGCTGGTGCTCACAGCGTTTCGCACAAACGTTATGCCAACCATAGAGTCACCGAGAATCTGATATCTTATTAGCATTGTCTTGAAAGTGAATTGAGATAGGGATCGGTCTTTCTGGTCAGCGAGAAGCCAATAACGCACATCGGTATATGAGTCTGTAATGTACGTCAGAGCCACGATATTAATCGGTGCAATCCCAGCGGAGCAAATCACTATTCCACCGGCCACGACTGGCCATGGAAAACCTTTGTCGATACCGTATCCAAACATCAGCGCGCCCGCAACCACCAGCGGAATGAAAGGGAGCATCATCCATAAACGGGTTTCAGGCTCAAATATACCGCGATTGCGACGCGCGAGATAAAGGATGAATCGATCGCTGAGCGGGCCGATTATGAGAGAGCCGATTGTCACACCAATGAATTGAGGGAGATTCATGAGACCAATTAGGTCCGGAGTGAAGTTATACGGCGGTTCTGTCATATGGCTCGACATCGTGGTGCTGATGGCGTCTTGTAAAGCGATCAAAACACCGTAGACCAAAGCCACAAAAAGCACTGCCGGGAATGTGCCCAGGATCAGGAATGGCTGCCAGGAGTGACGAGCAAATATTTTCCAGTGGCCTGGAGATGACGCAGTGACCGACAAGCGTTGCTTCCATGTGCGCATAGGGATATCTTTGTTTAGAATGACAGTATCGCGAGTCAGAAGCCTACCTTGTTCCTGGTCGCGGCTCGGGTCAGAGGATATCGAACCCTTGCTACTGCCCTTGATGTCCATTTCTGGTTTCATTGGGCAGTGGGAACTCGAGTCAACCTCCGAGACAGATCCATTTGGATGTTGACTAATTCGCTTGGAGCGTCCAACCCATTTTGTCTCTTCATAAAAAAGACCAAAAATAACAATGCAGACACCAAACATGATGGTATTCCACCACCAGACCCAACGCCACCCCTGGGAGACGGTGACATACCCAGCGGCTAGGGGCCCAAGTGAGGACCCTGCCTGAACAGTCCAGATGAAGATGGCGTTGCTCAATCCCCGTTGGTGTACATAAAAAATATCGGCAATGGTCATTTGGATTATGACCTCAGAAAGAGCACCGAAAAGACAGGAAAAAACATTGACCAACAATAGATCAACCGGCCTTTGCATTTTGGCACTCCAGATGCTGACACCGAATGTCACCAATGTGCTGATGAGGTATAATGGGCGGCGACCGAACTTGAAGCCGAATGGTGTCAAGATCACGGCGCCGATTCCTAAAAAGCCGCACCCAAGAGCATAGCTGTCATTCAAAACTGCCCAGCTGAACCCCAGCTGATCGTGCATGGGGTCCCACGTAGGAGTCGCTGCGCAAATAAACTCCGTGATGAGAAGGGCGTATAAACAGACAAGCCCAAAATTGAGGTACTTGCGCCAGGGAGCCCAGTTAAGGGGATCATTTGGATCGTCTGTCGGCTGTGGCTGAAGAATAATCTCTTCATCATTCGAACGTTGTTCTTGAAGGAGTAACGTGCCAGGAGGCCAATACTGACTCTCAGCAGTTGTGGATGCCATGGAATGGCACAGATGAATAGAGTGAGAAAATTGTGAGGAGTATAGAGATCAGGATGATTTAGCCAACTTATCAATTTCGTTTTTCAACCAATTTTGAGACGGTTTCGGACTTAAATATGTTGGTCAAAACCATTCCACGATAGCAATTGATATCACTGATATCTGAACTGGCTGAATTCAAGTTGACCTCTCTACCTGTAGAGATAGGCACAGAAGGGGATGGATAGCCATTGATTGGCTGCCCCACTAAATCTTAAGGCCGCTTGCTGACAACCTCTCTGACGGAGTTAAGCACCTGGTGGCACATAGAGTACAAATTGCGGAGGGCAGACTTATCTCACATTCGTAATCGCTGATAACAACATATAATCACGGTAATAGTCAGCGAGGAAACCCTTGTCTTGCTTGTATTCCCTCGAATATCTGAACCTATAAAACGGACCATCTGGCTTACGGCTGAGCAAAAAACCTGTTATTATTGAATTTTACAAACCGGACAAAGGTTTCAAAATGTCTTCTGCCCACGGATCTCAAGTTGAAGTGACACCCTTACCCCAGGGTGCTCAATCCGATGCTAATGTAAGTTCTCATATGCATATAACCCAAATCAGAATAGAACTTGACCATTATGTTGTACTGATACCATCTAGTTTGGTGCTACAATCACTGGTGTCGATTTAAACAATTTGAGTGATGAAGATTTTCAAATCGTCCGCAATGCCATCTACACCCATAAAGTGGTGGTAGTCAAAGGCCAAGATGATCTGGTTCCCCTCAAGCAATTCGAGTTTGTGCACCGTCTGGATCCAGATGCAGAGGGTGTGCATGGCTTCGACACCAAGGATGTAACCGATGAGACTATTGGAGTGCTTGGTGTAAGTGAAATATCCAACCCCGCCAAACAGCAACTTCTTTTCACTAACACGCCATGCCCTGTGTAGTCGAGATTCAACACAATCCCCGGTTCGGTGGGTGTCACCATAGTGGGCCAAGGATATCAAGGGGATGACCACTATGGACTGAAAGGCATCACCGCCAGGTCGACTACACACTTCAATGCTCATGTAGAGCCCCTCACCACAGAGGATGTTGAGAATGGCCAAACAAGGTTTGGTGCTTTTCATTTCGATGGCGTGATATATGGATCCAATCCTTCACGAGTCACGACACTCCGCTGCGTCAGGGCGCCGAAAGGCCCCGATCTGACCATTCGGTGGGATGACGGCTCTGGACAGACAATGACAGCAAAGCCAGGATTGACCGCATTCATTGATAGTGCGCAGATGTATGAAATGCTGACAGACGGGGAGAAAACCACTGCAGACAATAGCTACTGGGCACCAGCTCCTCAGCCTTACGTCTGGTCGGGTACTCGCAAAATCCGAAACAGCGGGCTGGGCATGGCCCCCGGGGGAGAAACTGTGCCACTGGATAAACTTCCGACCTGGGTACCGGAAAAGGTTTTTAAGTTTCCGATGGTTTGGGTCAATCCAGTGACTGGCACCCGGTCTTTCCAAATCCTCCCCGACGTTGTTCAAAAACTATACTTGAAATCCGGACCGAATGCAGAAGAACTTGTCGTGGAAGACAATGAGGAAGTTCGCATCTGGCTGAACAATATTCTTGATCGAATTTGCAAACCTCAGAATATCCTGATTCCCGAGTATGACGAAGGAGATGTTGTGATGTTCAACAATTGGGTATGGATTCCCGATAGCCGAATTAATTTTATCAGACCTATATTCATGGTAGCTAACAATGATCCCACTAATAGGAAGTATTGCATAGCTCAATTGATTACCCAGCCTCTTACGGAGTCCGTACAAGTGAGTCTGAAAGCTTGAAAGGCGGTAGTGAAATAAAAGCTAACTAACCTTTAGTGCATCAATGCCATATCCCTTCCTCAACATTCCCTGTCGGTCCAATTGGGGTTTGAACAGTCAAAAGCTTGTTGAAAAATTGGATGAATCTCTCATATTGTCACATTATCCTTTGCCCATAGTATGATAAGTGAGCTTAGTATCTCTTTCATCCCATCTCCAAACAATAACTTTATACACCACAATACATTACATTATGGTTAATAGTGTAAACACGACTGACCTTATGATCAATCAATCAATCAATCAATCAAAGTTCAATTAACCTGTTGCAGTCTAACTAGTTACGTATGACTATTAGTCTATTAGCCAAAAACAGGCACATACTACAACCTCTATATAGGGGTATTTACTATTTTTTTTATCTTTTATACTTACCTATATTATATATAAACTCGAATGTGAAGCCTATTTATTTTTACCTATTTTATTTAATTTGTGGTGGGGGTTAGAAGTTTTTTAACTGGATTGGTAGCTTTGGTTTAAAATTCCGAATTAGGTTAGCGTTTAGTCTAAAATTCCTAAAAGGGATTTATTAGTCGAAAATATAGAAGAAGTTATCTATATTTCGGACTATCCTATCCTATAGGGGGGAGTGTATAGAGCCTAAAGTCACTTTACTATATATTACTTACTAGTATTTAGTGTATTTTATTGGTTCTTAGGAGCCTTTATCAACCTATATTAGTATTTTATATTAAGGCTGGGTAGACTATATATTTTAGGACCGATTTTAATAAAAATTTATAAAGATCTATTTAACTTATATAAAAGGACTCCTATTAAATTATAACCTTTTAACCTAGCTATAGTATAAGTAAAAGCCGATTAAAAATATTACCTAAAATCTATAGTACCTACCTATTAAGTATATAAGAATAGTTAGCTCTTAACGCTTAACCCTAAATAATAGCTATAATCTAAGGCTAATAGGTCCTAGAATTCTATTAGCTAAAAACAGGCACATACTACAACCTCTATATAGGGGTATTTACTATTTTTTTATTTTTTATACTTACCCATATCATATATAAACTCAAATGTGAAGCCTATTTATTTTTACCTATTTTATTTAATTTGTGGTGGGGGTTAGAAGTTTTTTAACTGGATTTGTAGCTTTGGTTCAAAATTCCGAATTGGGTTAGCGTTTGGTCTAAAATTCCTAAAAGGGAATTATTAGTCGAAAATGCAGTAGAAGTTATCTGTATTTCGGACTATCCTATTCTCCTATATTTTTAACTATACTATTCTTCTATATTTCTAGCTATCGCCTACCCCTAGAAATTCAATAATATTAAATTTCTATTTTAATATATTATAGATACTATTTAGTGCTCCTAATTAGTAAATACCGCTATATAATTATAATTTCTACTTATTAAAGTAGAATATAGCCTAAAATGTAGTAGTTTACTATAATTTAAAATTAATTATTATCTAATAGTCGGAAATATAATAGTTAATATTAGTCAAAAATACTAGAGAACCTAATAGTCGAAAATATAGAAGTTCGGCTTAGTCGAAAATATAGTAGAAGATATCTATATTTTAGACTATCCCCTTATCCTATATTTTAGACTATCCTATTCCTCTGTATTTCTAACTATCTTATATCCCCTAGATTTATATATACTATAGATACTTATTAGTTCTATTAGTTATAAATTACTATTATATAAGTATAATTTCTAACTATAGTTAGAAAGTCTAGCCGGAAGGTCTAGTAGTACTTATAGTAATAGAATATAGCCTAAAATATAGTAGTTAGTATTAATCGAAAATACTAGAGAACCTAATAGTTAAAAATATAGAGGTTCGGCTTAATTAAAAATATAGTAGAAGATATCTATATTTTAGACTATTCCTTTATCCTATATTTTAGACTATCCTATTCCTCTATATTTCTAACTATCCTATATCCCTTAGATTTATATATACTATAGATATTTATTAGTTCTATTAGTTATAAATTACTACTATATAAGTATAATTTCTAATTATAGTTAGAAAGTCTAGCTAGAAGGTCTAGTAGTACTTATAGTAGTAGAATATAGCTTAAAATATAGTAGTTAGTATTAGTTAAAAATATCAGAGAACCTAATAGTCGAAAATATAGAGGTTTAGCTTAGTTAAAAATATAGTAGAAGATATCTATATTTTAGATTATCCCCTTATCCTATATTTTAGACTATCTTATTCCTCTATATTT